CATGAACAACTCTGTCTATAGCAAAACGATGGAAAATAGTTGCCTCAGACATATTTGTTTGATTGGCTCATATTAATTAAAATCAGGAGTTATTTAAGAAAAGTATAAGACAAACCTAAAGCCGATTTAAGGTGGTGCTAGCGTGGTGGAAATCTCAAAATGGTTAATGTACGAGCTTCACTACAGTTTTGTTAAGAAAGTTTGGCCACAATCAAAGTTGTTTCTCATAGACAACGATTCACTCGTATACCAATTATTTATAGATGATGTTTATCAGGATGTTTATCAGGATATTTATAACAATAAAGATGAATTCGATTTATCAGATGTCAGTCGAGACTCACCGTTTCACGATCCTAGCAATAAAAACGTTATGGCCCGTGCTGGAGTTTGCTTGATTGCGCAGCAAAATGTAATCAGTCAAAACCGCAGACAATAAGAAAACTAAGAACTTAAAAGGAGTAAAAATATGTTGTTAAAATGCTATTAAACATAACGATTTTACATATATATATATATATATATATATATATATATATATATATATATATATATATATATATATATATATATATATATATATATATACGTACTTAGAAATTCATCAAAAGATTTCGCTACAATGTATTCGATAAGGTCTTATAAACATCTGCTTAAGATAGATAAATCGAGAAAACATGCGCTAACTAATTTTGGTGAGAAACGCTTCTGCTTGACTCAGTCGGGGGATGGAATTAATACACTCGCGTTATTGTATTATGAAACAAAAAGTTTATAACCATCTCTGTAAAGGTGATTGGAGACTTATTCTTTTCCATATTGGTTGCTAATCATCTTTTTTTCATACTCTAAACTTTAAGCTCAAATATAGATTTTTAAAATAAAGATGCGCCATAGTTGAAGTTTTATTTGCTTTTCAGTCTCTCTTAAAACTCCATAACTCGAATTTAAATGTGCTATAAACAACTGTTTTTAATGTAATTGGAGGCTTCCTTGAGATAGAAAATCATTTTTATTTTGTTGCTTTTCTCTGCATCTGCAAAAAAAGAGCCATTTTCAGACCACAATAAGGTTTATTAGGTAATGAAAACCAAAATTTGGGCTATAACCAGCATTGTCCTATACTACTCTTATTATTTTCCTTCTTTTTATTATCGTCTTTTTGTTTAAAATCTAAGACTTTTCAACTCAAAATAAAGCTTTTTTAGAATAAAAAGGCGCCACAGTTTTTCTTTTCTTGTTTTAAGTTCATCTTAAAACTCCATAACAACAATGAAATATTACAGCTGTTTTAGGATCTTTTTGGTTGAAAAATAATTATATTTTTGTTGCTCTTAGTCGTCATTTCTCTGCAAAAATGGAGCCATTTTCAAGTCAAAATAGGCTTATAAAGTAATGAAATAAAAATTCTGGGCTATAACTGGTATTTTCTTGTACTACTTCAGTTCAAGAAACGTTATGATTCAGATTTAGTGCCTTTGAAACGGGTTTTAACATACTGAAATAATGATGCTCTTATACAAGTCTTAACTTAGGTTAACTGTATAGTTTTATTAATTCATTGTACTTGAAATTGGACGAAAAAATTAAGATTTCTTGAATGGTCTTGAATTTATATTACATAAGTTTTCTTTTAAATTGCGTCATATTACGGCAATATTTTGTAATGAAATACATTTATAAACTGCATAAAATGCAAGTGACAAAGTGAAGATGAGGGCAGTACTGAAGAGTGATAACAAAGTGAAGATGAGGGCAGTACTGAAGAGTGATAACAAAGTGAAGATGAGGGCAGTACTGAAGAGTGATAACAAAGTGAAGATGAGGGCAGTACTGAAGAGTGATAACAAAGTGAAGATGAGGGCAGTACTGAAGAGTGATAACAAAGTGAAGATGAGGGCAGTACTGAAGAGTGATAACAAAGCGAAGATGAGGGCAGTACTGAAGAGTGATAACAAAGTGAAGATGAGGGCAGTACTGAAGAGTGATAACAAAAGTGAAGATGAGGGCAGTACTGAAGAGTGATATAACGTAGATAATATGACAGATTTATCATTGCAGAATGAGAACCCAAAACCCTTTTCTAGATCTTGAAGGAAAGCGAATACTCAATTATTTCTTTCTTAAAAAACACAGAAAAGTTGTTTCATTCTCTCTAAATACAGACAATGACTGTCTCTTTCTTAAGGAGCCTTTGAGTCGAGTAAGAAACAGTTTAGGACTAGTCTAGATTGCAGATTCTGCTCAATATAGTAGAACCTTCCCAATTTATTTTTTCAATTCCTTCATTGATAAATTTCTTCTCGCATTAAATTCAAATGTGCTCTCGATTGTTGGATAAGTCGTAGAGACCTGTGTAACTCATGCAGTATCTTCAACAACTGTTTGTTCCATTTGCCTAAAAAATGTTGATTTTTCACGACCAGTTATATGTTATGACTACGTATGCCAGGCTTAGCAATGACAGCTGATGATATGTCGTTTGCCACACTAGGAATAGAAAATTGAAGGCGCCTGAAATTATTGTATTCTTGTCTTGCTTCTTTGCCTTTTATATTCTAAACAAACGCCCAGGTTATCAAGTGATTTTGTTCTTCTGACTTATGACACACTTGACATCAAACAATTAAATACATTTAAAAAAGGGATAACATATTGCAATACCAACAATTATAAAGCTTGAACGTGTTCCTCTGCTTTCCCAGATTTTGTAATAATGTTTTACTACTTCATTAAAAAGCTTTGTAGATGAATATTGACTCCAGACACTTGTTTCTGTGTCAGGAAAAAAAGGTTAAACTACTTTAAATGTATAACAAACATTCTTGATTGTGAAATCTATAAGCGGGAGGAGGGTGGTTGCGATAAAAGCGATAATGATCGTAACTAGGGTAAGGACAAAAATATATATCATCAAACGATTTACTCGTTTATTGCCGCAAAATTGTTTAACCAATTTGACACAGTGGAAGAATGAGTCAATTTGATAGTATAAATAAATATTGGTTAGAGCTTGGTGATTTCTTAACTCCTTTTTAAAAGAGGTATATCGTTTTCATACTGATAGTAAAGGGCTGTACATTCAACGGACGTTTCCGCAAACGGCGCAACTTTTATAGAGTTTTGCAATTTTGTTGCAGACTTGGCAATTCTGTTTTCTACAAAGTTCTGCAAATGATTTTGGCCACAAAATGCATTAATTTTATTGCACATTATTTTTTATACATAAAGCAAATGTAGATAATGCTTGTATAGTTAGGACAAACTTGCATTGCACTTCTTTTCTTCCTTACTCTAAATTGAAACTCATCATCAGTCAGATTAGATTTGTTTGAAAGTTCTTTCAAAATTTAAAAATATTTACAGAAATGTAAACATATTTGTTATACATCGTAGATCTTCAGTCTTCGAATTTGGCAAAACAAAATTAATTACATGTAAGCTTCCTTAAATAATAGGCATATAGGAAAAGTTGAAAGCGAAATATCAACAATTCGTGGTCGTTGTATTTATGTTATATGCATTGCATGGAACCAGTCGTTATACAGGCTCTCGCTTGAATGTAACTCATATTGCATAGGAAGAAAAGACGAAACTTTCATCAAGATTTGAGATGTTATTTTATTTACAGAACATTGATAAGCTGCTTGATGATACACTTATTTTTTGTATATGATACAACAATGCCCCTTCATAATTGCATCCGTGGTCCCTTCATAATTGTATCCGAGGTCCGGACGTCTCTGTGTCTGTTTGCACCGAAACTAATGCCGTGGTGAAGATGAAGTACATTAGTGTGTCAGCATTATTGATGATTCATTGACTCGTAAGCTGGTAATGCCATAATTGCAAAATACGTGACAGACCCATGATTTTCGTAAGGCAATTATTGAATCGTCATAGTTAAATCAATAAACTGATTTTACTGTATTACAATCAAACTCGCAATAGGTAAAGGGTCATGTAAGAGAATTTTAAGAAAAGAAATGAAAATTATTTGATGAGTTATATAAAGAACCAGATCAGATATCAGACATATACCTAATTTAATGATAAGGTCTGGTATGTGGCTGTGAAAAAAATAATGATATTGATTTTCAGGTTTGATGTATGTATGTATGTATGTATGTATGTATGTATGTATGTATGTATGTATGTATGTATGTATGTATGTATGTATGTATGTATGTATGTATGTATGTATGTATGTATGTATGTATGTATGTATGCATGCATGCATGCATGCATGCATGTATGCATGTATGCATGTATGCATGTATGTATGTATGTATGTATGTATGTATGTATGTATGTATGTATGTGTGTATGTGTGTGTGTATGTATGTATGTATGTATGTATGTATGTATGTATGTATGTATGTATGTATGTATGTTACAGTGTAATAGAGCATTGAGTAAGTATCTGAAAATCGATACAAATTGGAGACGTAAAGCGATTCATGTGACGATGTTCCCTTACTCTAATTAACAATTATTCCTCGTTAAGAAATGAGATCACTAATGTGTAATTTCTGGAAGCTTAGACCGACTCGAATCCAACAATGACACAATTGTTAAAATACATGTTATTATACCGAATAAGCATTGAGATTTATGCACAATTTACGTTAATTGTTAATGTATCTTTATATCTGTCTGTACTTACGAAATTCGCAGCAGAAACGTTTTCGTACAAATTACATATTAAATCCAGAATGATTGCAATTTTGATTTTTTTGCTTAGATGAAATAGATGTGATGTGATGTGATTATGATTTCTAACGTAGCTTTAACAATTTTTCAGTCATTTCGATACGATGTCTGCAGTGTGTCAGTTGATAGTGATGTTTAGAACTTGGATATCATGCCGCAGACATGTAGCATGATGTCCCACCCAGTGACATTATCCTGACACCAGGCCAACCAGTCCTAACACTAACCTCTTAATGCTGAGCGCCAAGCGAAGTAGCTGTTAGTACCATTTTTGTAAGTCTTTGGTATGGCTCAACCGGGGATAGAACCCACGACCTCCCGCATCCGAGGTGGACGCTCTAACCACTAGGCAACCAAAGCGGTCTGGATGAAATAGAATGAACTGTTAAAATTTTGCATAAATCTATAATAGTCTAGTGCAATCTAGATTAATGAAACTAAGAACATGCCGGAAACCAAAGTTCGATCTCAGAGACCTGTAAGAGTTTTACAAGTAAGGAAAATTTACATAGTGAGAAAGGCTTTGACATTACACAAAATTCAGAGCGAAAGTTCTGTGTGATAAAACTCAGCAGAAATAAAAAGAGATCGATAAAACAGAATACAGGAATGGCACAAAACCGCATGGTGAAGAATTTCCTAGTCTTAAGATAGGTGACAAAACCATATCATGGGTTTTTCAATGAATATTGCAATGCCGATACCTAGAGAGAATGCTTTTTTGTTTACATGTTTAAAAACGGTACAAAAGTATTGTCAGACTTAATTATTTAGAACAGAAATATTCATTGGAAAAAGTGTTAATGTGTTGAAGGCTAATATAATAAACAACTCCAGTTTCAGAAAAGACAGATCACTGTTAATGAATACAGCATTCTCGGCCTATAACGAAAGATGGTTATGTGTGTGTGTGTGTGTGTGTGTGTGTGTGTGTGAGAGAGAGAGAGAGAGAGAGAGAGAGAGAGAGAGAGAGAGAGAGAGAGAGAGAGAGAGAGAGAGAGAGAGAGAGAGAGAGAGAGAGAGAGAGAGAGATAACGTACAATAATTCAGGAAAAACAGAAGAGATAGAATTTAAGAACAGACTCATGCAACGTGTTATATGAATCAGCAGTTCCAGAATAAAGCATAGAAATTACCAAGTTTGACACCAATCTGATAATCGATACATTTAAAGGAACTAACGAAACGTTGGAAAATTCCAGAATAAAAGTGAAAAACGAGGAAATAAATCTTCCGATATTGCGAATTAAATTAAAAATGGTCTAAGAATTAAAGACACAAGTCCTAGTAATAAAATGTCCTGAATAAAACTCAGTTCAAGTCCCAAAGAGATATGACATGACATGTCTTTTATAGCCTACGAAGTATTGATGTATCAACAGTCTCTTGTTCAGTTAGAGAAATATTATTCCAGGTTTGAATTCAGTATAAATTCCAATGAATATCTTATTCAAATATTTGATCAGAACACTTTTGTATTTCCAGAAAAAAATCACTTGAATTCAGTAATTGAAAGGAAATAAAATTCAGTCCAAACTGGTCACAATATAATACAACACAAGTGCTAAATGTTAAAGCACGACTTGCAAAGTTTTCACAGTCACAAGGTAATATAGTTCTCTGCTTGACCTCAGGTCATAATTAAAATTGTATAAAAGCAACCATTACCTAATGGAAAATAACCTTCTAGAATGACCTAATAAGCTTTGTTTATTTACAACACAATAGCCAATAAAATTCACTTAGAAATCTCCAAAACCTTTATCCTGATCAACAAATTTATTCCTTGTTGGTTACTTGAATAAGAATAGCATGCAATGAAATTAAAAAAATATATATAACAAACAATTATATTAAATATACATAGCACGTCCCCATAAAAGAAAAGAAAGATTTATATAATAAAGCTTTTTTTACCATGGGTCAATTATACATGATGTTTATATAAAAGCATAAGAAAAAATCGTATGAATGACACTCCACTTAATAATCGGTTTTATTTTGTTTTTTTATCTTGCTGATGAAAGTAAGCGATTTGTGATCAATAAACAATATTCTGAGAAGAAGTTTAACCATTGCAAACTTCATAACGTTGTAATGCCAATATCAAAGCCAAACATTCGTTCTAGATTGTAGAATAATTTCTCTGTGCTTTCCTAATTTCTTCAAAAAGTCGCACACATGGTGATCGACACCATTTTTATCTTCTTCAATCAATACTAATCAAATCCCAACAACACTTGCTTTTTGCAGATAGGCAAAGGGAATTCAGAGATAGCCTTGGCCTTAGTATCTATAGGTTTAACTTGTCCATGTCCCACGATATGTTTTAGAAATGTTATGTAAGCACGGCAGAACTCACTTTAGATAAATTGATTGTCAAACTTCCATCACTACGTCTGTCCAAGAATTTCCGAATTGTTGCCAGATGTTCTTTCGAGGTGTCGTTATAGATGATGGCATCATCGCTGTAAGCATCATAATCATCTAGGTCAGATGTAATCATGTTCATTAAACGTTGAAAAGTATATGGCGAGCCTTTCATCCCAAATGACATTACTATATATTAATAAAATCCATCTGAAGTCTCTCGCCCTTTCCGTTAGTGGAATTTGCCAAAATCCTTTCAGAAGGTCAAATTTTTTGACATACTTTGCAGTTCTAATTTTATCAATGCAGACATAGATTTTTGATAATGGAAATGAATCTGTTTTAGTCACACTATTCACATTTCTATAATCATGGCACATGCGGAAAAAATTTATGTGGTATCGGAACATGTATACATGGTGAACTCCAATCACTTCCCTGGAATACAAAGCGAAAAATTAAGTTAAAGAATTTGGGTATTTATTAATTAAATAAAAAAAATAATAAAAGAATTAAAAATAAAAGTCATTGTAATAAAACGTCCTGAATGAAACCAAGTTCCAGTCCCGATGAGATCCGAAATTGAAGGCGATGACGTTTATTGTTGTCAGCTAAGTGCTGCTGTCCGTAGTCTCTTGTTGAATCATAGAAAATATTATTCCAGTTTTGAATTAAGTATAAATTCCACAACAATGTCTTTTTCCAAGAATAGTGTGAGAGCACGTTTGTATTTCCAGGAAAATACTCGATTTCAATAATTTGATGAAAATAAAATTCAGCACAAATTGGGCACAAGATAATACAACTTAACGTGTTAATTGTTTTAAGCCCATCTGACGAAACCGTTGTCAAAAAGTCAGCTATACAACTAATTAAGACGCAAAAAGAGATAACCCGGATGAGGGTCAAATTTCATTCTGCTGGAAAAGATAGAAGTTTGATAAGAATTGATATATGCTTAATGTCACGTATGGCCTTGACTCAGCTTAATGATTCTTAGAAAGATAAAGAAAAGTAAATAAATAGGTTGTTACAAACATCATCACTAATTTTGAAATAAGGTCAGCAACTAGATATAATGAACGTATTATTAGTTGTTTACGTCAATGAAATAAATAAAATGATTCGGTCAGGTCAAACAGAACTGAACTTAATCCATTAAACAATGTTACATTACAAAAGCATATAATGGAATTAAAAAATTAAAATAATTAAATATACACTACTCTTACTTCTATACCTATACTAATAAAGATCATTTCGACCATTATTCTAAATTTTATTTGCATGGGTATAGTTGGCATGAATACAATTACTATTCTTTAGATAAAATTGTGAAACCTGGGACTGCATCATGAAGATCACCGTTCCTTCGTTTCATTAGTAGGTCAATAACGATACAGTTTTATGCTCACTGACTTGGGTCAAACTGTATGCATGATGTTAATTGAGCCAAACTGTATATGATGTTTATTGGGCCAAACTGTATGTATGATGTTAGTTTATCAGGGTTGTTCATGCCGTAACAGTGTGTTACTCTTTCAGCAAACGAAAGGACATCGTAACCTATATGTGTTCTTTTGCTGGCTCTTGTTAGGGTTTTGCATAGAGCTCATGACTGCATTAGTTTTTCACACGTTATATGCATGCTGTTCTACAAAGAATTGATGAAACAAGGTGAGTGGATGTGTGTTGATAAGTTTTATTTCCTTGTCGCCCAAAGATATACACGTCATTTATATTGTATGCTCATTAACTTTGTGCAGATGTTGTGCTGAATGTTTATTGCTTGGTTCTTGTTTATTTTTAAGTCATGAAACCCGACAAATGGGTGAATCTCCGTTGCTACAATGCTCATAAAACCAAGAAAAATCACGGTGACCTACATTCTATTGTTACGTATCGGCTCGTTGAAAGTAACACGAAAGAGTGAAGACAACAAAGCTTTGTAAATTTTAACAAAAATAATATATTTCCCTAGTAAACATGGATAAAATGTAAATATGTAATTCAAGACTTACGATTTATGAAAAAAATCCAAATTGTTTGTTCTAAAGATATAAAACTCATAAGTCCTTTGAACAGTTCTTAATTGACACAGTCTGAAGTTCAGTTTTGGTCCAAGATGGCGGATGATGACGTCAGACGAAGGCTAACACAAAAAATCCAGAATTTACACAGAGAAGAACAATTGGTATTGTTCCATTCCAATTTAGAAGATTTTCAGGAAATGTCTTTGTCCAAACCAGTAGTGTTGTTCTCCTGGAAAAATAATTATTTAGAAAGACGAAGTACAATAAGCTCTACTAGCAAAACATTTGTCATTCTATGTAGACACACGAACAGACAACTTTTTCTAGCTCAAGCAATTCCTTTTTTAAGGTAATAGCAGCTATGTGACTCCAAGATGTTTAAATCTGTTACATTTTCCTTTACTCTGACTGTGACTGTGACTGTACTTTCTTACAAAATAACTAAGCATATAAACGAAGCTAATACGTTGTTTCATGCAAACTCACACAGAGGGCACGTGTAATTTCGCAATGCATCTAGACATTAGGAAAGCATGATACAAGCATCAGCCAATCGTTTTCATGCTATTGCTGAATGTTTACTTGCTAGGAATTTACCATCGTACACAGCTCGTTTTTACATGGGTCACATTTACGATTTAAGTAAACACGATGTTTCTAACGAAAGATTTATACAGAATTCATTCTTTAACACACACGCACACACACACACACACACACACACACACACACACAAACACACTTAAACTACTGGGTCGTAACACTATGCTTTACTAGCAGAATTTAACTCTTTTTAGATGCGATCACACTGATTCATCCGTGATACACCCTACCCTACTCAGAAGGCCGTATATGAACAAGGCTTTCCATATTAAATCTATACAGTCTTTATCACAATATGTTACCACTGTGGGTTACCCGTATGTAATACACTTGAATGAGTATATAAATGAGTAA